TTGAAAAAAAAAAAAAAAAATCGGAAGAAAAAAAAGTTCAACAAAAAAAAAGTAAAACGAAAATTTTACTTTTGGCATAAGAGACAAATAAAAAAAATGTATAACATTTATTTAATTTATATAAATTAAGATTTATTAAAATTACTTGATTATATTAATCTAAATAATTTTTAAAAACTCAAATTTTCAAATGGAAGATATCGTGAGAAATTATATGGAAGAAATTAGAGTAGACATCATCATTAGACTAAAGGAGGGGGGGGGGGGGGGAGAGAGATTTGAGCTTAGGTTTTATGTACTTATCAATTTATAAAGTCTAAATAATAAAGTAGAAAAGATAACATTTCATAGCAACGTGATCTTGTAAAATGTTTTAAAGACTATAATATCCTTAAAAAAATTATTCCAAAAACTAACATGTTTAAATCATATAATATACAAAAAATAAATAAAAGTGTCGATTAATTCTCCAAGTTTTATCATTTAAACACGAATTTATCTGTTATTTGATATTAAAGGGCTTGAATATTTATGTCACTTAAAGAAAATATATTTTATTCTTTTTTATTTGATGTCAGTATTCACATTGGGGGTTGGGGCTGGGGAAAAGTGTGACAAGTTGAATTCATATCGTGTATGACCAATTAAATAAGAATGAATTTTGTTTTTTAAAAAATAGAGATAATAAATTGTTATAACAAATGGGACATATATATGAGAAAATGGGGCAAGTATGCAAATGACCTCTAGACCAAAACATATGCTTTGTGATTATTATTTTTTAATATGAAATGTATCAACCAAGAATGTATATTATACACAATATACACATTTATCATATTTGAATTTTGCCAACAAATTTAGTATCTATTTAGTATTTATTACATCAATCTCTCTTTTCCTTAATTTAATCTTTTTTGCCATTATTTCATTCTTTATTTTCCTTGATTACATTTTAAAAAATCATTTTACTCAAATTAATCAGGCCGTTTTTAATTGTTTTCCCTCCTTATTTCATTCTCTCTTTTCCTTAATCAGTCGCTTCTCATTCTTTAAAATCTCTCTATTAAACTCTTAATTTTGTCAAATCAATCGCACAATGAAACAGATTGCAATTTGATTAACGGATAAATTCCCAATAAGCTCTCAATATTCTCTCATAAATCAAGTTGTTTGATAATTTTTAGTAAGCTCTCAATTCATTATATGTTTTTATTATCCTCTTTCCGTAAACTTTTCTCTCTAAGTTCTCAATTACTCAATCATTATATGTGTTTTTAGGTTAGTTTTCAATTTGTTTTTTTTTTCAATCTCTGTATTCTCTTTTTTGTTTGTTGGAGGTTCATTAGTGACGGACCTAGAATTTTTACCGAGTGCATTGAACATATGAAGAAGGAGATTCACAAAAAAATGCCAAAAATCCAATTTTATTAGTTAAAAATTAATTAATATATAATTATTATTTAAAATTAGTATTTTATCATACTAAATAAATAATTGAAGTATATGATTTAATCAAAATAATGAGGTCAAGCACAAGAAAAAGGGCTCAGCCAAAAAGCAATGTGGAATTGGAAAATTGAGAACCATTGTTTTATTTGTTTTAAGAAAGAACTTAAATAGTATAGTTTTTTTTTCAATTTTTGAAATCTACAAAAAATTAAAAATTAGGAATTTATTTTTCAATGAGAATTTATTTTCTAATAAGTATAATTTAACTTATTTTTGTAAGTTATTCACTTTACTATTCAGATTATTAGCTCATGTGTGTTAACCTTGCAAGTTATTTACTTTATTTTTCAGATTTTGTTCATTCTTCTTGTTCTTAATTAATACTTTGTTCAATAATCTACTTTCTTGTTGATAAACAAGGTGTGTTGAATGCTCTTTTATCTAAATTTCACCTTTTCTGAAAGAAAAAAAGAAGTAAATGAAATTCACTATAGTTAGAAGGAATCCAACATTTTCATTTCTCAACACATGAATCATATTTTGAGTTTATTATTTTGGGTTCATAGAAGGTCATATGGTACATAAGTTATCATTAAAGATAAAAAAAAATGTGTTTTTTTCTTTCAAATATTACAAACTTGGTTGTTATCTCTCGTATTCACACTTAACCAAAGTTGCCACATAGTTTTGTTATCAAACATTGATTATGATCACTTAATCTTAGTTTATTATACATACATGTTTGGTTCTCAATTTTCATCTCTAAAGTAGTGAATCATATCCAACAATTCTCAGTCTTAGATCAATAAATTTCAAGACTACATTATCTTTAATATGATTAGCATTGATTTGAGATAAGAGTCAAAAACACATTGACACTAACTTTTTTCTTAGTTTCATATCTAAATTATTAAGAGTGTCGGTTTCATACCTAAACTATCACTTATTATTTTGAGAAACATACCCCTCTCATTTATTACACTCCCATCATGGTGTGTGTAACACACTCTCTCTTTTATTTAAATAATTGTCAAATCACACTCCACATGGACAAAATATTCCACCTTGACAAAAATTAAATAAATTATTAGTATCAGTTAAATTAAAGATTAAAGTATTAATTATATTATCCAAAATAAATTTAAAAATAAAATGTAAAATATTTTTTTACCTCACTCCACCACTTCCTCTCACCGTACCCCCCCCCCCCCTCCCCAACCCAGATTTTTAGTTTTTTTTAATTTTTTTTTTTTATATAAGTTCTTAAAAAAATTCTTACTCCATCCCCCCTCCCCCCAATCCCTTCAAATAATAATTTAGATACTATTTTAACTTTTTTTCTTTTTTTCTACCCCACCCCACATAATCGTCTGCTATCAACTTTTTTTCTCGTTTTGTATTAGATATATGTATATATTTTTTAAAAAAAAAGTTTTTTACTTGCCGCAAGACTTTTTTTAAAATAAATTTTTTATTTTTTTTATATTCGGCACATAAGTATAAAAAATATTTTCCTAAGAATATATGTACATATCTAACACAAAATGAAAAAATTGTAAAAAAAAATAATAATAATAAATTAGGAGCAGGGGTTAGACAGGGTGGGATAGAATTTTTTTTTATTTTTTTTTAAAAATAATATCAAAATAATTTTTAGGAAGGAGTGGGGGAGGGGTGAGGTCTGAATTTTTAGAAAATATTTTATACAAGAAAAAATAAAAGGACAGGGGATTGTCGGGGGGGGGGGGGAGGTTATGGAGTGAGGTGAGAAAAATATTTTAATTTTTTTTAAAAAAAATAATTAAAAATAATTATTTTTTTGATAGTATTATTTTAATCTTTAGTTTTTAAATATTATTAATAGTTTATTTAATTTTCGTCAAGGTGGAATATTGTATCTATATGGAATGCCATGTGGCAAGGTTTTTGCAAATAAATATCATTGAGATTGTTTCTCAAACTAATAAGTGATAGTTTAAATATGAAACTCACATTCTCAACTATTTAGATATGAAACTAAAAAAAAAAAATAGTTTAACGTGTTTTTGACACTTTATCTCATTTTATACTTGAAAATGATTCCCTATTTAAAGTTGTTCTAAATAATACTAGTGGGCTCAATTGTCTATGTTGCTTAAGCCCAGCCCAACATCATCTTCTCCATCCATCTATTCATCTGCTTTCATTTGCCATTTTCTCTTTACTTTATCCCTTCTTCAAGGAGTGACTGTTGCTATCCTTTAGGTATTTTCTCTGTGTTTTAGTTGTTATGTTTCCCAATTTAATTTTTTGTAAAATTTCTTTGTTATGTTGTGTTTAATTTTTGCACAATCTTTTTGTAGAATGTGACTAATTAGCACCTGGTGTTGTTGGAGATGGAGGTTGATCAGTAACTCCTGTGTCTCCATAGACATTAGCTGCTATCCCTTTTCTCTTAGCAGACCTCTGATTTTGATTGTGGAAATGATAATTGGCTGACATTCTCTGATTGTTGTATCTATTGTGATTGGAGTTCTGTCCACTAGTGGGGAATCCATGTATCTTGAAGCATTTGTCCCTAGTGTGCCCTGGCCTCTTACAATAGTCACAAAAGGGCCTAGGTCTGCTGCTAGTGGAGGCATTGTTAATATGGAGGAGCAAGTCTATGCAGCCCCATGATAAAAAAAAGTGCAGAATTAGAGACTTGGGCTAGTTAATTTTTACATTATCTGTTATTTAATTATTCGTTGTATTCAAAAAAATATATAAGGGCTTATGTAAAATGGTTGGTGACGTTGGATTCAATCTATGAGAAGGTGTGTGATCCATTCGTTAATGGCATTGCAGGAATTGATAGAAGCATTGTAAGTTACCAATGTGATGTGAGACTTTAGGATGGAGAGTGTAGAGTCCAGTTGCAGCTTTACCAATTACTAATTGCTTTTGGTAAAGATAGAAAAACAATTTAATTGACTAAGTAGCTGAATGCGAAGAAATTAGATTGAAATAAAAGGAACTAGTTTCACATTATGCAACATAATTTGCAGTTTAAGTCAAAGAACCAGTAGAAGTAAGATTAATGAGATAAACAAGTGCAAGAGTAATGTTAGAAAGAAGTGCTTATTTGGTGTTATATGATTTTTTGTTCTTGAATCTAGAATCCAAAGATCATTACTAAACATCAATGTGATGTGAGCTAGAGGGGCTACTAGAAGGATCCTACACAGATAAATGTGCTTGTTGGAAAAGGGGTATCAATTATTTTATCGTGTTTTGTATGCCAAAGCCATTGAAGAGAATCGCGACACTGCAGTCATGGATTATATTGTTTCTTGAATCATGCCTCAAACTTGGGATTTTTTTATTCTGTCAAATATCTTTGCCTTTTATACAATCCAAGTGAATAAGAACTGCCACAAGTCCAAATTTCACTTTGGATTCTGCATCTTCTGATTGTTTGAATGAAAATATGTGGTTTACCAGGAAAAGTCGGGAACTTTTTCATAAAATGTTGCATCTTTCTAAAGCTGAGGCACTTACACACATCAAGCAATTATGATCAAAATAACTAGTTTTCATCGTTCTCCTTGATCTATTTGATCGCTTGCTGGATTCACAAGAATCTGAGGGGATTGTAGTTTCAAGGTGTCATATTTCAGCTGATTGTTCTATGATCGACATTATGTGGAATATCTTCTCTCTCAATAGTTGCATACATGTATATAGAACATAGAAAGGCGAGATGTCCATGATGTATGTGTAGGATGAACCAAATCCTCATTGGATTTTGTTTGTCCAGGATACCCATATAGTCACTCCAAAAATCATTCCCTAATGAACTGGACAATCAGTGGATTTCTACCAACAAAGAAAAAAGTTATAATTTGAATAAGAAATTTTTAAATGGACTTGAAGTTTCAACTTTTATTTCAATTGAGTTTTGCTTCTTGTATTGTGTTCTGGTAGTATGACCATTATACTGGTGATATGAAATTACTACAAATCCCTCTTATCATTTTACAATGCTGCATCATCTTTCTAAAGCTAAGTCACTTATACACATCAAGCAATTATGGTTTAACTAACTAGTTTTCATCATACTCCCTGGTCTGTTTGATTGCTAGCTGGATGCACGAAAATCTGAGGAGATACTAGTTCCATGGGTCATATTTGAGCTGTTAAAGATCGATAAATTGTTCTGTGACCAGAAGTTCAACTTCTATTTCAATTGAGTTTTTCTTCTTGGTATTGTGTTCTGGCAGTATGCACCATTATACTATTGATATGAAGTTAGTAAATTACTGTGAATCCCTCTGATTTTCTTGAACAAAACTGTGCAGCAGGCCCATGCATACTCTGGGATGCTCTAACTAGTGTTACGGGTGTGGTGTCATCTGAGATTGGTGATGGAGAGATTTCCGCGGTTAGCACAGCGCGTTCTTTCTGTGCCATTCACTCCAAAATACTTGAAATCTTGTAAGAAAACGAATCCTCTGACCTCCCACTTAATGCAACTCCGTGGCTCCCAGAGACCAGTATTCATACAATGGAATCTGCAGGGAAGACCTTCTGTATGCACTGACTTAGTATCCAAGAGAAATTACAGTTCTACCACTGCTCGAGCAGGTTGGTTTCTGGGTTTAGGAGAGAAAAAAAAGCAAGTCATGCCTGACATTGTGAAAGCCGGTGACCCTGTTCTCCATGAACCATCTCAGGACGTTCCTCTTGAGGAGATTGGGTCAGAACGAATCCAAAAGATTATAGATGAGATGGTGAAGGTTATGAGAAATGCACCCGGTGTTGGTCTTGCCGCTCCTCAAATTGGTATTCCTTTGAAGGTTTGTTAAAGAAAACTTTTAGTTTGTCCAACTTATTTTTTGCCTCACTGAGTTTGTTTGTATTGCAAGTGACAGATAATTGTGCTGGAAGACACAAATGAGTATATAAGCTATGCTCCTAAAGATGAAACCAAAGCACAGGACAGACGTCCATTTGATCTCCTGGTGTGTGTGAAGTTTTTTATGTGTCATCTTGATAAATATGAGGTCCAAATTTTGTGGCAATACATTCAGTTTTCTTCTATTCTTGCAGGTTATTATAAATCCAAAGCTTAAAAAGAAAGGCAATAAAACTGCATTGTTTTTCGAGGGGTGCTTGAGGTAACACATAAACAACTAAGCCTAACTTGAAATTTTTTACATATTGAACTATCAAAATGCAGTAGTATATTTGTTTACGAGCACATCGGGGCTCAGGAATAGAAACATGCTTTTTGGTAGAAGATCCTAGGCCTCAGGCACTTCGGGAAAAAGGCAGCTATTTGCTCCATTAGTATCATTTTATGCAAAGAAATATTTAGAAAGTGAATAGCATTAATAGCATGTATGTGGAAGATAGTTGTTTGTTTATCTTTTGTAAAGTAGCAAAATTTATCATCACCTCAAACCTGTGTCAAAAGGTCTATGAATTCTTTTATTAAAAAAAGGTACAAGAGGCCATATGTTTTCAACAATTATCAGGATGAGCTCTTGTTTTCGATGGTCGCAGCCATAAAGTTTACCTTAACTTGTATGTTCTGATAATCACTTCAGATATGCACAATGGCCTATCTTTGTAAAGACGAGCTATGTTATTGTGCAATTGAATGTGCGTTGAGTTGGTGAAGATGTCACTCTGTCTATTGAGGAGATAGTCTGAGAAGGAGGAGCTTTATTGATTTGTACATTGTTTTGACTTTCATTACTTTGCTTGCTTGCGTGTTTCTGAATAGTGAACAAGAAATAGCTGTTTTTCTTTTTAGCATTTGTTTAAGTTAATTGTTTAATAGAAAATTACCTAGCAAATTAATAGCATGTTTATCAAGCTTCCAAAATCTCTGCTTGTTTTGAAAAATAATTGTTATCAGAACTGAGAAGTGTTTTTCAGAAAAGTAATTTTACAGAGTGGCAGTTTGTGTTTGGCTAATCGATTTGAAAATTGCTTTTGCCGATATTAGAGTAGTACTGTGTGCTTGCCAATGTTCCAAAAATGTTAATTCGGAAAATAGGCATTTATGGCTTCCCAGAAGCTTGACCAAATAAGTTATAAGAATAGTTTTACTGGCGCTGTTATGTGGAAGTTCAATTTTTCACAAGAATCTGAATTTCTCGTTGACAGGCTATTCCTAGCCTTCATAATGATACATTATGTGATCAAAACTGCTTAGATGTCCTATCAGGTTAATAGCCACGGATATAAATGAATTCTTTGCTTAATCTTCTGTTTGCAGTGTTGATGGGTTCAGAGCGGTTGTGGAAAGACACCTACAGGTAGAGGTTACTGGTTTGGATCGAAATGGCGAAGCAATCAAAGTAGATGCTTCAGGATGGCAGGCTCGCATTTTGCAGCACGAATATGACCACCTAGACGGAACTATTTATGTTGACAAGATGTTTCCTAGAACCTTCAGGACTGTAGAGAACTTGGACTTGCCTCTTGCAGCTGGCTGTCCTAAATTGGGAGTGTGCTAGGTCCACTACCTCAAGCGACTCGTTGTGAACTGAATTATCAATATCTTGCTTGGGAATGGGATCGCTGGTTACGTTACTCAGATGACTGTGATGTTTAGAAAACAATTAAGGAGCTGCAGACGATGACTTCCCCATCTTGTGGGATATTGAAGTACTTGGATTCAGAAATGAGGTAGCAAATAGGTGTGTACATTAAGCCGTTTACAAAGATTCATTTTTTTGAATGGTATACTGTTTCTCTTTCTGTTATGGTATACTTCAAAGCTGATACTGTTAATGCACAGCAGAAAAAGAGAGGGTGTCGAGATTATAGGTTGATATGCAATTAATTGACCTCTTATTCTGTGATCTTCTGGAGAATGATATACATAAAAGTAGCTATTTCATAAAAGCTTTTCAAGATGAAGGTATTGCAACAACAAGGACAACAACATACCTAGTGAAATCCTGTCTGGGGAGGGTGGAGTGTATGCAGACCTTACCACTACCTCGAGGAGGTAGATATGAAGGTCTTGCAAAACTATATATAGACAGAAAACTAGTCTGAAAGATACATCCAGTCCAGGACAATTTATACAACTGAATGAGAGTACAATCCTTAATTTCGATTTAATCAACAAGAATCATAACTAGGGATTCTTTTATCAGGTTGAATACAATCAATAGGAGGGGTTGTGTTTGTTCTCAATTCTCCATAAGTTTCCCAACAATACGGTCCATAAAAGTGCTTCTTTTCTGGTGAAGGTTTAAGCTCTATGTCTGCAAGGGAAACACCTGTGCATGGCACAGAGTCGCTACACGCAAAATGAACTGGTTTATATGAATAAGTTCCTTTTATGGATTGATATGAAACTCCTGATATTGCTACTGCTGATGTGTGGTTACCACATTTTCTTTTGTCACAATAGAATTGATCTATCATTATTGGTATTTTCACATCTGAAACATGGATATTTGAGAACATGATTCCCTGAACTGACCCTGAGCCTCCCTGAAAATAGAAACATACTGTGAAAGTCGAGGGATCTCAATCAATGGATGTCAATATTCAAGGTTCTTACTACTGAACCTATTGGAACTTATGTTTCATTAGTTTATACCTGCCATGTTTTGATTCTTACACCAGTCATAGTGTTCTGTAGTGTTGAATCCTGAACTGTTATGTTAGAGACGCAGGCTTTCGTGTTGTCTTTTCCCAGCCCTCCTATGCTGAATCCATGTCCAGGTCCACAATGCACATCATGAATGAACACAGCTGAACTTCCTGTTTGTATAGATATACAGTCATCTCCTGCATAATGTGTTTTAGTTCACTTCAAAATCACAAAAAGAAAAGTCTCTGGAGAATTTTCTCCATAACAAATCTTCCATGCCCCCCCTCCCCCTTGACTCTCTATAGCGTAGAGAGCTAAGCCACTATTGTCGTGATTGCTATAGAAATATAGATTATGCTATATATCTTTCAAAGAGTAATTGATCAAATTATTACCACAAGCAATATGACTGCTGTTAATAACAACATTTTGTGAGTTCTGAAGGTGAATTCCATCAGTATTTGGGCTATCTCCAGGGGATGAAACTGTGATCCCAGAAACTTGAACTGCCACACAATTATCAAACTTGAGATGTGTTTTGGGACTGTTTTGGATTGTTATGCCTGTTACAACTACGTTGGAACTTCCATAAAACTTCAGTGCCTGCCACAAAATTATAAAATAAGAATAAAATCCACTTAATGAATAAGGGATTTCATTTGGCATAAGGTAGGTAATTGTGTTATAAAACATGATTTTTCCATTCATTTTTCGGCGAACCAGCTCACTGGGAAAATGTATAGTGGGAAGCAGATTTTCACTGAAGTAGTGAGAAACTTCCTAATCTTTACTTACGAAAACATTACTATTTTTTCTTTTTCCACCAATTCAATCAAAATATCTATGGGAATAAACATTGAACATTTTTCAATGGGAAAATAGTGGTTTTTTAATAGTGATGATTTAGTAAATAGTACTCACTGCTGGTCTGGTTCTGGGCATTTTTCCTTTTGATGTGCTACTTATCTGTCCAGGCACCAATAGAAACAGTCAAGCAATGAATAATAACAATTACTATTAGTCAGAATTAATATTGGGTTGATATGAAAATAGGGTGTTAATGTACTAGCATCAAAGATTAACTTGTAGAACAATTTAATTAACTGTTTTATGAATAGGTATAAATGAGACTTGTTTGTACATGGAATAAATAAAGAAAATTGCTATTTGAACTAGGAAAAGGGTCTTAGAAGATATTCCTTTCGTTCATTTTTACTTGTTTATAGTGAACTTTGTACGTTCTTTAAGAAAATAAGTAATAAACAAAATGCATGTTTTACTATAATACACCTGACTATTAGCCAAACTATAATACACAAGTATAAAGTACAGAAATCTCATACATTTTGGGGTTAATTATATCCTATTTCGGAAGTTTTTCAATTACAAAAATTTCAGATTTTTCATTGCTCTAGGATATATTCTTTGGCTATCCAATACATTACTTAATGGAAGAGATGTATCCAAGAGGAGATAGGGATGTATTCGAGAGGGATTTTTATAATTTCTTTTTTAAATGATAGAGAATTTTAGAATTATGATATCTTAAGTTGTATATATATGTAATGTTTCAAACGCCAAGAAAGAAAGGAAAGGGATAGGCAAAGTATGATGAGTAGATAGATGGATAAGTAATTATTACCAAAGCAATTTTTGGAGCATAATCATCTTGCTCCTCCGAATAATCACCTTCATATTCTTCTATTAACAAAAAAGGAGCAATTTTCCACCAGACTGATCCTTGGCCATCAATAATGCCTTTTCCCTTGACACATATTCCATTTAGCTTTGAGAATTCAAGCCATTGTAATACACCCCACACTTTAGGGTTTGTTGGTGCTATAATTCTCCCATCCAACTATTCAAAAAAATAAAGAGAGATGAAGTGCATATATATTTTATCATAATTCTCATGACTATTAGCATTTCAAAAGATTTTGAAAAATGATTTGGGGAATGAGTAGTTAATGTTAAAGATAAAAGAGGAAAAATACTTTTCCCTGGATACGCTAAAATGGAAAAGTAAAAATAAAAAAATATATTTTTAGTATGGTAGGCGAGTAAGAGTGAACGAAGGAAGTAATTTGCAAGAGTGGTTGAATTAAGGAGAAACTACCTAATTATACAAACATTCCTATCATATTTACTTATTCTCCTTATAGTTTGAATTAGTTACATTCTATATCACTAATTAATAATTTCATAGTAGATATGCCTAGATACGTGTTTTATACACCTACATACAAATTTTTTGCTATCAAATACATTGAAATAGGGAGAGAGGTAAGCGAGGTTTGTCTATGTACTTCAGATACATGTGAATCACACTAGATACATGTAGATACATGCGAATGTGAATCACAGTAGATACATGTATTTGTATGTATGTGGTATGATTTGCATGTATCTGGGATATCAGATACATAGGAGAGTGGCGAGCGAGATGGGAGGGAGGCGAATGAGATTTGTCTATGTAATTCAAATATATGCAAATCCATTTGGATATAGTGTATCTAGAGAAAATTATATCTGGAAGTATCTGAACACACCAAAATCTTATAAAATTTGTAATATTGCAAACTAGAATGTATCTAAGTAATTAGTTTCTAAACTAGTGAAACTTATGTTAGTTACCCCTTCAATTAAACTTATAAAATATTAGTGGACTGAATTTATATACCTGGAAAACAATGTTTTTTTCACAATGTGACCCTGAAAAAGAGATAGGACCAACTAGGAAATCATAGTCTGATGGAACCATCATAATTGATCCTTCAACTTTGCAAGCTTCTATCCATGTTGCTTCAAATGCCTGCCAAGACAATGACAAAGTTGCAACAGACATGGTCTTCTGGTGAAATTGGGATTAGGGTTAGGGTTAACTTGAAAACAATTATGGAATATGTGGCATGATTAGAAAGAAAATGTTACTCCCTTCGGTCTATTTTAATTATCGTGCTTAATAAAAAATTATTATTATTATTTGAAAAAAAATTATGATATAATTAATTATTTTAGAAAATGTGTAACAGATTAATGTGGTGAAAAGAGAGTATACTAGAAAATTGAGATAAAAAAATAAATAAGGATAATTTAATCAAATTATCATTTAAGTTAATATTTTATTTAAAATAAAATCTAACAAGTAAAATAAATCGGAAGGATGAGAGTCACATAATTTCACCATGCTCACATAAATAACCTTCCACTTTTATGGCGAGGTTTTTCATAGTAAATGCATAAAAATAAAAATATGGCCTAATTTATTTTAGGCTTTTAGTATTTTCAAGAATCTAATAAAATTAATTATTGTGTGTTGAAATCGAAATGTAGGGTGTATTTGATACGGAGGAAAATATTTTTTTATTTTCTCATGTTTGATTGGAATTTCTGGAAATCATTTTTTCTAGCTAGAAAAATAAGTTCCTTGAAAATGAGGAAAATGATTTTCTTAATAAAAGTATGAAAAACAAGTTCTATAAGTGACCTTCGAAATTTATTAGTTCCCCCACCCACCAACCCCCAACCCTTACACCTTGATCACCCCATCCCCATCCCATCACCCCGAGTCCCACACCCACCCCTCGCACCTCTATAAGTTTTTTATATATTATATATAAATGTTATTGAGATAAAAAAAAATTTCTTACTAACCGAATAATAGAAAATAAGTAAAAAGTTAATTTATTTTTCTAGAAAAACATTTTTCACGAAAAATACTCCTTCATACCAAACATACATATTCTCTCTAGGTTAAACTTTCAGATATAACATAATTGCATACTTTTGTATGGATCAGAGTAGTAATAAGTCTCGTATTCTCGCTACTACCTATTATAACAAAATACTTTCATGTGATTGGTGTAAGAATTAGAGTCAATAAGTCACACGTGAGTAACATGTTAAGGAAATATATATTGAATACTAATTCTAAGAGCAAGTATGTTAACACATGACTAAAGTATTGTGAAATAGTAGTACTCTATATACTACTTCTGTTATTATTTATTTGTTCAATTTTGACTTGAGACATCTATTAAAAAAATAATATTTTTTCTATTTTAATTATGTGACACATTTTGAATTTTTAGATTCAAATAAGTTTATCTGTGACCGTAAAATTTTCATACATTTTTTAAATATTTGAATTGTCAATTATTGTGACTTATAGTACTTTTATGTAGTTAACAAATATATAAATTTCATTTAATTTTTTTTTGAAGATTTCATGAGTAAACTCACTGTCAAACTTAAATTGTTTGACTCTCGAAAAACGAAATGTCACATAAATTGGGACAGAGGGAGTAATTGATATAGTGAGTTTTTATCATTTTATCCTTATTAATTGATAGAATTTCAAAATCAATTTACTTATCAAAGATGTTCTACCTTTTTCAAAAACATTAACTATATATCTAAATAGATTGAAGGTATAATGAGTGAAAAATATTATCGTTTCTTGATTTGTCAAAAATAACAAGTAAAAAGTTAAAATTGGACAACGAAAAAGGAACAGAGGGAGTATTAGAGAGCATGATATCTTACTTTGGTGTCATATGTGATTCCATCACCTTTAGCACCATAATCTAAGACATTAAAGACATAAAAATTCTCAATATTTGATTCTTGTGACCTAGCATTGCATGTTGCATTCTCCAAACTACAATAGATTACTAAAACCAGCAAAATAACTAACTTCATGGGATTTCTACTAAACCTCAACGTTTTGAATGAGAGAAAGATTTAATAGATGTACTCTCTTAATTTGAGTATTATTATTATTATTGATGATATTTATAGGCTTAATATGTCTAATAAACCAAATTAGTACTGTGCAATCATGTGACCAACATGCATTGCGTATATATACATTTCTTGTAGTGTGGGATAAGTTTATTATTCATTAGTTCTTAATACCAAAAAACATGAAATTAGCTACGGAATTTATAGATAATTTCTAACTAATTTGTGGCTAAATATATAGCTCGTCATTGAATTTTTGTATCATTCTTTGCTAATCCATAGCTAAATGGAATTAACATGAAGCTTTTATTGTTTAGTTATGAAATATTTTTCATCGTCAATTTCGTATTTTCTTGTAGTGTCTTGTGTTTACCAGCAAACGAATTGAAAATGAAGTACAATATTTAATTCATTACAGACGAAAACACTGAGACATAATTATCGAGTACTTAATGATTTCTATATGACTATATGTTGTTAATTATATCTTGCTAATTAGGTATTTTAGTTAAAAAGAATTAATAGGAATATTTTGTTTAGGCTAAAAAGAATATTAAGTAGGTGTTACGTGTGCATGAAGAAGAAGTGTTTTTCATCCTGCTGATGATGAATCATTTGACTCAACACTCGTTCTTGCCTTGTAAGTGATATTTTCTTGAAATCATGAAATTTCATTACTCCGTCTGTCATAATTTATGAGACACATTTCATTTTTCTAGAGTCAGACCGTTTAAGTTTGACAAAGAATTTACTCATGGAATCTTTAATTTTTTTAAAATGAAATTTATATATTTGTAAACTAAAAAGTACTTTAAGTCACAATAATTGACAATTCAAAATATTTAAAAGATATATGAGCAATTTATAATAAAAAAATAGACTTATTTAAATCTCAAATTCAAAATGTGACACATAAATTGAGACAAAGGGAACATTATTTTTAATACCGTGCGTGTTTATGAGCATTTTGATTGTCTGCAATAGTGCTCAAAATGATTAGGGGGTTGGGTTGATACTTGCAAATAGGGTTGTACATAGTTCGATTAACAAGAAAATGTTTGATGGTTATAAAATGGATGTCCACATAAATATATATTGTGTTGTAATATAAATGTATACACAATATATTTTGTATTGTAATATATATAAAATAAAATGTACTATATGTTGTAAACTAGTTATTCATACAATATATTTGATGCCTTTAATTAGTATATACGTAACAAATAAATATTCATAAATATAATATATTTGATGCCCAAATATATACATGTATATATATCCATCTTTTTGTTATAGAATAGACTCTCTTTGTAATCCGTGTCAACTTGGCAAGTTGCACAAACTTTTTCTTTATTATGAAATAGATAGATTTAATAAAAGTTCTCATATTTTGCAATTAGTGTTCATTCAAAAGAAATTCTAAAAAAAGGTCTTAACCAATTCAAACGTGTATATCACACAAATTAAAATCCTCCTAATAAGTTGTGACTTTTCATTTCACTTTCAACATTGGCTTTTTAAAAAAAACTTTCTTCAATGCAATAGTTCCTAGTGGCTTAAAAAAGGGAAACTTTCGCAAATAGACACTATAATAAATTTAATTATGTTCATAATTATAGTTTGCATATTTACGGGTTGTAGCTACAGTTTAAGTTGTTTTGTTGGTATAATTCATGGGTTTGTATAATTCACGATTACGTTTGTATAATATAACTATTTTTTTATAAACTCGAAATAACGAATTTATACAAACACAAACATCTGAACTTTAAACAGTTATACAAATTCTGAATTATACAAACGTGTGAATTATACAAAATTAAAAAATAGAGTCCCGTAATTATAGCTAAAAGTAGTTCGTGAATTATAATTAGGCAAAATGTAGTTATGTTAATAATTAACTTATATATATTTGTTTATCCGCGTAATTTTCCCTAAAAAAAGGGAAACTGCATAAATGAGTCATAAAAAATCAAAATAATTACATGTTCATACATCAATCCAAAGTAATTCAAGAAATACTCATTCTCTCAATTACAACCCATACCCCTATTCATTAAGGCTGATAATTTTCGCTTAACTGATACTAAATCAGTATTATATACTGTATTGATATCATTAAGGCTGATAATTTTGCTTGACTGAGAGTAAATCAATATATATATTGTATTGGTATCATTAAGGTTTCTTGCTCACAAATTACTCATTAGTCAATGATATTGTAAGAGTATAAAAATATTGTTGTGGTATCATTAAGTTTTTTCTTGTTCAGAATTATTCACTAGTCAATGATACTATAAGAGTATATGTATATTATTGTGGTATCATTATGATTATCCCATGAATTTATGGAATTTCCGAGATGTCTTTTCAAGGAAATATATTACCTTTTATTTAGGCATTAGCTAAAATTTAGGGTAAAATAGCCTCCAATAACCCTAACTGAAACATAACTCATTTTGTAAAGTCCTATAAAATTTCGATGTCCACACATACCCCTAAAACTATTTGTATATCATGAAAGCATTATTCAATTATTCAAGAAAATACACAACATAGCTTGACAGTACATGTATCTTTTTGATAAAATGCGAGAATTCCTAATTAAATTTTCAGTAATACTTTTTATTGTTTTCTTTTTATGTGCCTAAGTAAGGTACAATTGATCTCTAGAATGGCAACGAAAGGTGAGATGAGATTATCGAAACATATGTATATGAATATCACATGTATTCTTAATTATTAGATAATTAAAGTATTAAAACTTATTTTGTATTTCGTTTTCTATTACTTCCTCCGTTTAAAAAAGAGTGACCTAGTTTGATTTGACACAAAGAAAATACAGAAGACTTATGAATTTTGTGGTCCTAAATTAAAGTTATGTCAAATGTACAAAATTATCCTTTAATCTTGTGGTCTTAAACATGTTATGTGAAAAACTGAAATTAAAACGTTACCAATAAAGGAAAGATGTCAATTTTTTTTTAAACAGACTAAAACAGAAAGTAGATTATTCTTTTTGAAATAGAGGGAGTAATATTTTCTTGGTTTTTAGGATAGGAAGGGCCAAATGATGACCAGTCACAAATATAATCAAGACAGCAAGTTATAGACGCGAACTGAAATGTATTAACATTGCTAATCTTTTGTTATTAATTTACATGATGTGAAAAAAATATCTAATACTTTTTTTATATCTTTATTGGAATTTGAATATGAAATCTCGTGAGTCTCAACCTAGCTATAAGCTAATCCATTGATCACTAAATCACAGTACTCTTTATGTTTGGCTCGACCAGTGGCGTAGCCACAGCCACTCCAGGGTATCGGAAAGTTACGTTATATATATATCAAATTTTAAATTTAAAGGATATATATTTAAAGTTGGACACCCTCGATAAAAGTTATGTCTTTGGCACGGTAGTAATGGATGTCCATTTGAATGAAGGAATTTTGGGTTCGAACCCCAAATAGCACAATATTTTTTTTATTTTATTTTGACAGCCACACACCATTATTCTTGGGGGCTCGACCTTATTATCACTACAAGAAATTTCACTTTTTTGTGGTGACAATTATCACTGCTAAAGACTAGAACGTCCTACTAAATAACCACTAAATCACACTCTTAGATGTTTTGGCTCGACTTTATAATATCTGTGAATGTGAAATCTCATATGTGGCTTATGTCTCATGCATTCATCATTAGAAGTATCATGTCATTATATTATAATTGTGACTTAGATATTCCTCTTAATTTAGATTCCATTTGTCTCTCTAAAAGATAATTATTCTTGAAATTTCACATAATTTTCATGGAAATTAATCAAATAGTCGCAAAAGAAAAGATTCCTCAACCTTATTTCGAAATCAAATGATTAACTAAAATCAACGTGTCGATCAAAGAGGGATATATATATCTAGCTTCTTGGTCCCTTTTTCGACTTAAATTCCTTTGGTGAACTTAAAAAAAATGTACTTTCAAGTGTTGAGTAGAATTACCATCAATGGATTACAATATTGATAACATGATCTTTAGAGATGTCCTATCTATCACGCCTTCAAATTGAGGTGAGATGTGATTGACTGTTAAAAATCTAATCAAACACTTAATTTACAGGATGATTGAATATTTCATGACTAGTCAATTAGTGCAATCACATGTACACAAATATAAACTACATCGAAATAGCCACAGTCTAAAATCGTACCTTGTTATGGATTCGTTCCAACACTTTTCGAAAAAGAAATCTTCAAGGAATCTTCACACAAACTTTACTGGAATTGGAGAAGAAAGAAGAAGAAGAAGAAGGAGGAGGAGGCGCCTTTTCTTTCTCATGTTTTGAGAAAGATACATTATTTCTCTCAGAGAAACCTTTTATAATCTTAGAGGGACACACTTTTTCAAATAGTTGTGTCTTTTTCCTTTTATTAATAAATATAATATATAACAATTATATATTATTTATTTATTAATATGGATTCGGGTTGACCCACATGGGTGACCTGATCCAGTTTCCTTCATCTCCCACTCACACATAGTGGGTCAACTCTCATTCCTATTTTGTAGCTTCATTCTAATTAACAACTAGACCGTGTAATTAGTTTATACTTTGAAATCTTCGTTGCTATACATCCGCGAGGAATAACATCTCGATCAATGAAACTTAGAGTAGATTATAGTAAGTAGTACCCTAGATCATTTATCACATTCATATTTCTCATTATCTCTTTTTCTTATTTTTGAGTTCATCATTATGTACTTGTCTCATAGGCAAACATAAAGGACTTCAATGAACACAATTAATGTGATAATATCCAATGAATCTCTAAGATAGCAAACACCAAACTGAATCTCAAGAAATTAAATAAAGGCATGAGGGTACAACATGAAAATTACATATAACTTTCAAGGCTTCACATGATAGCAAGTAGAGTCTAAACTTGTATCGCCCATATGGATCACTATATGCATATATGGTATGAAACATGTATCACAATAGCGTATGTCT